AATAGCTTTATAAGCTAAGTGAGTAATTATATAAATAAGGTAATAGTATATTTACTATATAAAAACTTTACTTTATATATTTAACTAACTTAATTAAAGTAACTAATTAAATAAACTATAATTAAACCCCTTATTTAAATAACTATATAAATAGTAATTTATACTTAAAGCTCTATACTTTAATAACTATTAATTAGCTACTAACTAAATAATTTAATTAATTATATAAATAAAAAATAAATAAAGGAAAAAGACTACTAAAAGGATTAACTAAACTAATTAAAGATTATAAATTAACTAATAATTAGTTATAATTAGTAACTAACTAATAAACAACTCGGTAAGTAATTAATAATTAAGCAACTAATAATTAAATAACTATAAAATATTAATTTAAAGTGTTAACTATAAAAAAAAAGAAACTACTAAAAGGAACTAACTAACTAGATATAGCTACAATTAGCAACTACTTAATAACGACCTAACAAGCAATTTAAACTTAATTTTACCTACTAAAGCAATTTAAATTTAAGTAATTTAAGCAATTCACAAAATATTAATTTAAAGCGTTTTTATAATACCTAAAATTAATTAAATTATAATTAAATATTTAGTAGTAATTCTAAGTGATTTAGTAATTTAATTAAAAACTACTTTATTAGTAAATAAAGCTTTCTAATTAATTAGAAGGAAAATTTTAAAAGACTAAAAAGGTACTAGTATAGGAATAGTAGGCTATAATAGATTAGCTACTATAAGTAATAGGTAGTCTATATATATATACGGGCCAAGCTTAGTTAGCAAGGTCTAGTTAACCTAATTAGGCGCTTCACCACCCAACCAGGCAGACCTTCTAACTAACACTAATACACACCACTTCAACCACCAAGACTTACATATAAGCTAAGCCAACCAATAATATTTCTAATTTTTTTAAAAACTTATAAACTTTTATTTTAAGTTATTATTTAATAATAATATTTTTTTTAAAAAGTTTAAACTATTTATTTTTAATAAATAATTAAATAAAGTATTAATATTATAATTTTTAATATTTATATTTATATAATTAATTTTTAAAATAATAATAATATTATTATTAAAATAATTTATTAAATAATAAATAATATTATTTTATTATTTTTATTAATATTTTTATTTATTAAAATACTTTTATATTTAAATTATATAATATTATCTTTAAATAAATATATTTTATTTTATAAATTATTTTAAAATATAATAAATTATATTCTTATATTAATTAGTTAAAAGTTAATAATTTCTACTTTAATTATCTTTTTATTTAATAATTATTTATATAAATTATTAAATTAATATATAATTAATTTAAATTATTATTTAAATTATTTTAACTTTTAAATAATATAAAATAAAATTAAATTTATTTAATTTTATTATTATTTAAATAACTTTTAATTAAAAATAAATATAAAAAGTTATTTTTAATAATCTTTTAAACTTTAAAATTTTATATTTATTTAAAATAAAATAAAGTCTTTAAATACTAATTTATCTTTCTTATTTATTTAAAATAAAATATTTTAAATTATTAAAATTTATAATAGTTTTATTATTAACTAACTATTATAACTTTAATTTTAATTAAACTATTATAAATCCTATAATTATTTATTATATAAAGTTAAAAGTAAAAATTTTATACTTAAAACTAAAGGTTTTCTATTTTTAACTTTTATAATTAATTATTTACTTATAATAAGTAAAAGAGAATAGAATAGTTACTTTTAAATACTAATTAAATAAGAATAAAGAGGGATGAATTATTAGTAAAGTCCTTTAAAAGAAAGATATCTATTTATATAATCTATATTTAAAGCTATTATTAATAATTATTAAAATACTATTTACTAATTAACTTATTTAACTACTTATTAATTAACCTATTTACCTATCTTTATATTATTTAAATAATTAATTAAATAAATAACTTTCATATACTTTCTTTTAATCTCTCTCTCTCTCTCTTTCTTTTATAACTATAAGTAGAAGATACTTTAACGGTATAGCTACTATAACTCTAAGTCTCTTATAATAAAGTTATTTATAACTACTATAGGTATACACTAATAGTACTCTTACCTATATTATTAAGATAAAACCCTTAACTAAATAGAAGATAAAACCTTTAAGTAAGATAAAGGACTAATAAAGTAAGTAATAATTTATATAAATAAAGTAGTAGTATATTTAATAAAGAGGAACTATATTTATTATAAGAAGAAGAAACTATTAAAAGGTTAATTAATTAGATTAATAATTAGTATTACTTAATAATAACTTAGTAAGTAATTAATAATTTAAACTTAATTTTATTTATAAAAGTAATTTAAATTTAAGTAATTTAAATAATTTATAAAATATTAATTTAAAGTGTTTTCATAATGTTTAAATTAAGTAAATTATAATTATATATTTAATAATAATTTTAAGTAATTAGAGTAATTTAATTAGAAACTACTTTATTAATAAATAAAACTTTTAATTAGTTAGAAAGAAAAATAAAGGATTTTAATTTTAGAAAATTAAAAGTTATTAATATAAAAATAATAAACTATAATAAATTAGTTATTATAAAGTTAGTAAGTTTATATATATATATATAAACTATTATATTTAATTAATAAAGTTTAATTAACTTAATTAAATACTTTACTATTTAATTAAGTAGATATTTTAATTATTATTAATTTATATTATTATTATTACTTTTATATATTAGTTAAATTAATTAATATATTTAATAAATTAAAAATTATTAATTTTATAAATATTATTTAAAATAATTATTTAAATTATTATATTATTAAATTAAAAATAATTAAATAAAATAATTATATTTTATTATTTAAATTTATAATTTTAATAAATTATAAATAAAAAATAACTATTAATAATTAAATTTATAATTATATAAAATAGATTTTTATTTTAAAAAAGTTATTATTATTTAAAATAATTAATATATTTTTAAAAAATTAAAATATTAGAAACTAAATTAAAAAAATTAAAATTTATAAAATTTTAAATTTAAATTTAAAAGTTTTAATTTAAATTTAATTTAAGTTTATAATATTTTAATTTTTAAAAGTATATTAATTATTTTAAAAATAATAACTTTTTTAAAGTAAAATCTATTTTTATATAATTATAAATTTAATTATTAATAATTATTTTTAATTAATTAATATATTTAAATAAAATATTTATTTTAAAATTTTTAAGAAAAGTTATTTAAAAATAATTTTTAAATAAATTTATTTTTAAATTAAATTATTTTTATAATTACTTTTAATATTTAAAATTTATTTAAAATTTTAAATATTTTATTTAAATTTTAATTATTTATATTATTTTAATTATTAAATTAAAATAAATACTTTAATAATAATTTTAAATAATAAAAAAAAGTTTTAAAGTAAGGAAATAATTTAAAAGCCTTAGGTTCTTATAGTGACCCTCTTATATATATACTAAAGTACGGTATGGAAGTATGTTGGTAGGAAGGGCAGACACTGTTAATGGAGGAGCTTAGTTCTATGCGGGACTTGATAAGTAGGAGATAGACCAGACTATACCGTCGTCTCATTGGCAAATGAAATAAGTCTCTCCCTCAGACTGTAGACACCGAAAATAATCCCAGCATCCCTCTGATGAAACCGTGCAATCGTTGTAGTTCGGGTGTTGAATCAGAATTCATTTTGAGATCTACCCCCGGGAAAGCTTCATGATACCAGTTGCATCAAGGACGGCACACCTGCCAGTCACCTCGTGTCTTTTCTTAGACGGCTTCAAGGGGGCTCGGTGTACGGAGTAGCTCCGCCATCAGTGACGAAAGGAAGCGCTGGAATGGGGTTTCGACATGGCAGTACCTCCACAAACTGAAAATAAACCCATGCAGTGGCTCGGCAGCATTGTCACGGACGGGGCAGTTGTCAATTTACAACCCCGAGAGTCGCAGCACGTCAAGCTTGCCGTGGCGGACGGGAGAGTTGAGGAGCCCGAATGTTTCGAGAGATGGCAAATGCTCCGATCATCTCACCAGCGTCTCCAGGTCTTGACTCGCACTTTGGGACGATCTTTCTAATAAGGGCCATGTTCTGCCCCATTTGAAGTGTTTCAGAAGGCACCGCCTGAGCCACCTGAACAGGCAAATGTGGGGCGGCCAGTACTGACTGACTGACTGTACCTATCCACAGTAGGTATGGATGTCGTCGGTAAGTCGGACAATGTCAGCACTCATTCCACTGGCAGGGAGTAGATCGTCTACCAAGTGAGTTAAGCTTAACCCGCCTGACTCGTCATCTACTCCATACACTCCTTCGAGGCTGATATGTTGGCTCCCTTGGCCCTGCGCCGCGGGCAACACGGACGAACCCCCATCGCTACCGGTCAGTCGGGCCCGCTGCAAACCTACTTGGGTATGTACCCCTGGCAGATATTGAGCAGGCCAATGACCGTCGCCACCTTGCCCATGTCTGTCTGTACGGAGTTCCTAGGTATGCATGTGCTTTACTCGGTACCTGCAGTGGCGTAAGGCGCCTGTTGGGGCCGAACCCACCGCTTCATGATACTCAAGTGCCATGAGCGCGCGCGGGTCCCAGCTCTGGTGCAACCATCCGCAAGTATCCATTCTCATCTTTCTGAGAATGGCCTCCACGTGATTCTCGCGCGCCATTGCCCAGGTGGATGGGGGCAATGACTTGTTGGCCCCGGCACCCATCAGGGCAGATGTCAAGACTTCGAGTCTTCTTCCGAGAATAAAAGCTCGAGCAGCGCCGCGTGAAACTTCTCGTGGCACTTGTGTAGTCAAGACCTTTTTCAACTACAACTTGAGGCCGGGATCCTCTGTTTCATTTTTCACAATTTCCATTACTTTGGTCCAGTTTGATCGACGCAGTGCTATCGACTTCTTTAATTAGCCAGGCTGCACGCAGTGTCATCCCATCAAGTTCGATATGTTGTTCCAAACTATTTCATCACTCGCCCTTGCAGGCACAGCTCTGTGTGCCCCAACGACACAAGCGCTTGGTCGTCGAGAAGAGGTAGACCATGATTCGCTCAATCCAATCCCAACACGAGTCCAGGACGGCCCTCTCGGCGCCGCAATCGAAAAGTTCAACCCCCGCCTCCACATTGCGTCTGGTTGCCAGCCCTACACTGCCGTGGATGACTCCGGCAACACCAAGCAAGTGGCCATACTTCGTGATCCGTGGACCGTATGAATTACTACTAACTATGACATAGTGGTGGTCTGAAACCAAGTGGGAGCCAGACGGGCGGCTGCGAGGATACCACTAAAGGCCAAACCTACGCAAGGGCAACAACAACCAATACCGGCGTGGCCATCATGTACTCGTGGTAGTAAGTACTATACTGTCACTTTTCACCTGTTACGGATCCCCGTATTTCATGTTATAGAATACTCTAGGTTGCAACAATTCAGCATCCGTGACAGGGCTAACATCACCGATAAGCATGCCCAAGGATCAGACAATCGACGACATTTCACCTGGATCGCACAGGCACGACTTCGAGAACATAGTCATATGGCTGAGTAACGACACCACGACGGTGCTCGGCGGTGCGGCGTCCGGCCATGGCGATTACAAGATAACCCAAGGGGCTGTTCCTGGCGGCGACAGCCCGACCGTGGAATACTTTGCGACGTTCCCGACGAACCACGAGCTACAGTTCACCGAGACGGTGGGCAACACATATCCCGTCTCGGACTGGGATGCAATGCCAGAGGCTGCAAAGAAGGCTCTGCAAGACACCGACTTCGGCAAAGCCACCCCACCATTCAGGGTTCGTCTTGCCTTTTCACGATGTTTTCCCAACATTGAAGTCCTTCTGCGCTCGTGACTGGCTCTTTATGCCCCGAATCCCCCCCCCCCCCCGAACAGCCCCTATTGCCAAAGTCATAGTCTGTCAATGGGCACTCCTACAGCTCCTCGTCCTACTCCACACAGTCCTTGTCTCGTGCAGTCTGCTAATGATATACTAGGACGGGAGCTTCGAGGACAACCTGTCAAAGGCAGCTTTAGATGACTAATTGGCACCCCGGATTCTTGACGAATTTTGATGCCAAATTCGATTCTTGTACACATAGTTATATAAACCGGCTGTGTTCCATGTCATGGCTCAGTAACTAGATAGTCCAATGCTTGCCGTTGTAAATACAGAAGTTGCTAGAGTCTAGGGTACTCCTCAGTTTGAGACAACTCCCGGGGTCTCACCAAGACCTGGGAAAATGCCGGAATTGGGAAATCCCCTGTGAACAGAAAAGTCGATGATGCCGACAAATTCGATGCTGCTGCTTTGTGTCAGCTTACATGGCCTGGTTCCGGCAGAATGGTTCTACAAACTACGGCTGTAATCAACCCTCTTTTGCCACTGAACACAGCTTGGCAATGCTCACTATCAGCCCTAGTGCTGATTCTATGGTTGCATTTACATCGGTTAGTCTCCGCCCTGCTGCAGCATATTAACCCCGCGCCGGCAGTCATACTGAATGAAAGTCGGATAATATGTTTCAGAAGGTTCCCAAGGACCCTTACACCAAAAAAAAATCGCATTTCCCACAGTTACTCAACTTGCATAATGCACGAAGCAGCATTCACGGGTTGACTGAGAATAAGGACTATTTAAAGTTTTAAATTCCTCTAAGCTCGGAATGACTGTGAGTACCACTTATCTCGGCGTCATTCTCTAAGCAGACTTCGTACTAATAGGAATCTCAAGCAACGGATACTCATGAAGGGCTTGTTGATCCTGGCATGTTTTGCCATCACCATCTATGGTCATGAAGCTGAGAACAGTGGCGCAAACCACATGAGGAACATTAGACGCGGCCCCCTTCAAGCTCACCTTCAGCATTCTACAAAGAGAATTGCGGGTCCAGGATCTGATATTAATGCTTTCATCGACGAGCTGGGACCGAAACTCTCCCCAGGAGCATCAATTACCGTGGTTGGCTCTGATGGATTCGACGATTTGACTGCAAGGTGGACTGCCTGGGCAGCTCCAGATTTCCAGGCAACCGTGTCGGTCTACACGGAGGAGGACGTCAGCAACACGGTAATATTCATACTCACATAAAGCTACGAGCACGACCAGCTAATTATTTTCAACCCCAGATCAAAGTGTCAAACAAGTACGAACTGCCTTGGCTGGCAGTCTCCGGTCGCCATGGAGGTATCCGATCGCTTGGCAAGTTAAAGGCTGGAGTTCAAGTCAACATGGCTCATCTTGATAGCCTTGTTATCAGCGCCGATGGCGAGACGGCCAGCATCGGCGGGGGCATGCTCTCAGGAGAGGTGACAAGTGCTCTTTGGGATAAGGGAAAATGGACAAGTGCGTTTCTTCTTCAAGACGGCCTCATCATTTGCTGACAATACGATGACATATGAAGCTACCGGCTCATGCGAATGCACGTCGCTTGCTGGGCCGATGCTCGGAGGTGGACACGGATTTCTTCAGGGTCGCTATGGTCTTGCTCTTGATAACCTCGCCTCGGCGAGAGTTGCCCTCGGCAATGGCACTATTGTGGTAGCTAGCGATGAGACGAACGCGGACCTTTTCTGGGCGCTTCGAGGCGCAGGACACAATTTCGGCATCGTGACAGAGGTTGAGTATAAAATCCACGACGTGCCTCCCTCCAACACATGGATCTTCGCCGATCTATACTTCACCGCAGACAAAGTTGAGGAGATTTTTGCCGTTACAAACAAAATTGCCGAGGGCTACCAACCTATCGGGGTTATCAGCTTTATCGAATATCGGAGCTTGCCTGACATGGACCCCGACAACCCAGTGATCGAGGTACTGCTTTTCTCGGAGGGTACTCCAGATGAGGCCGAAAAGTATGTCGAGTTATATCGCGCGATCGGCCCAATGAACTCAACAGTGGTGGACACGCAATATCCCCAATTCTCAAAACATATGCGCTTCAGCAAACAGGATGCTGCCTGCCTTGAAGGACAACTTACCGTGCAGCGATTTCCTGCGAACCTGGAGGTCTATAATATCACCACTCAGAAGGAACTTCTTGTCAAATTCGGTGACTTGGTCTCTTCGAATCCTTTCCTCAGCAACTCGTTTTACATATTCGAGAACTACGGATACAGTGCCGTGAAGGACGTGCCGGATGAGTCCACGGCCTACCCAGATCGCTCCAATGGCTATCTCATAGCTCCCTGCCTAATTTACACCAACAGCACCCCAGAAAACGACGAGATTGCGAGGCAGGGCGGCGAGGCGCTGCGCTCGATTGCGGTAGCCGGTCGGCAAGACGGCAAGCTCTTTGCATACGTGAACTACGCAAATGGCTATGAGACACTCCAGGAGCTTTATGGACATGATGCATGGAGGCTTGAGAAACTCAGAAACATCAAGACAGCTTACGACCCTGATTCGCGATTGAAGTTCTATGCGCCTATAGTCTAGTCCAAGAGAGCAGCAGGGGAAGTCATAGTAAACACTGCACATCGGTGCGGCCTTCGACAGATTACGCTCAGATGTTCTTTGAAGTGAGAAAAGCATGAGGACCCATAAAGCTACTCGCCTAATGTAATAAATGTTGAAAGTTTATCAGTTGCGCAACTGCCGCATCCCGCGGGTGCCATAGTTAGCCCCGCGAGCAGAGCAGTTCCTAGTTTTTAAGCGCTTGTTATTTCTTTATTAACCGGAGGATTTCACAAGCCACCCGTCAATCCGGCCTGTTTTTGCGTCGCGTAATGGCTCGTCCGATGGAAGACACGGCTTCCATGCCGGGAGTCAGCTGCCTACACGATCCCCCATGGACGTAGAAGTTCCGTTCCACAGCGGGCTTGGTTGGTGGAGAAACTGGTGTGGTATCTGCAACCCCAATTCTGGACACCTCCTTACCAATGGCTGACGAGGCCATTGCTCATTTCCGGACAGAATCAGGTATAGAACCTTCAGGGTCCGGAACTCACGATTGCTTCTCCGAAAATATGCCACCGTCGCAGTGGGGTAAATGAGTCCACGGGACAATGGCTCGGGCTCTACCTACCGCGCCTATGTATAACTACTAGATCCTGTCGTCCGAGACAAGCTTGAAGATTTGATACTCTAGCAGAGATCCCTCGCGACTGACTGTATCAATATCCATGATGTATTTGCAAGCTTCGATTGCGGCCGTGCTCTTGGCCATACCGGCAGTGCAAGCAAACCTGAACCAGCTGGCACAAGCTGCTGGCAAGTTATATTTTGGCTCAGCAACTGATAACCCCGAGTTATCTGACTCTGCTTATGTCGCTATCTTGTAAGGTCTTTGAACTGACTACCAAGATTCGAGAGTATCTACTCTAAAACATTTGTTGATTTTCTAGGTCGAACAAGAACGAGTTCGGCCAGATAACGACAGGCAACACTCAAAAGTGGCAATGTCGGTGCTCACGTTTCCCGGCATCAACTTTGTCAAGTAACTTCCTAACACGTATACAGACACAGAACCAACCCAAAACTCCTACAGCTACACGCAGGGAGATGTCGTCACGAGTTTTGCGGCCTCGAACGGGCAAATACTGCGGTGCCACACGTTAGTCTGGCACAATCAGCTGCCGAGCTGGGTCTCTTCCGGCACCTGGACAAACAGCACTCTCACAGCCGTCATCCAAGCCCACATCTCCAGTGAGGTGAGCCACTATAAGGGCAAATGCTATGCCTGGGATGTTGTGAACGAGGCCCTTAACGATGACGGTACCTGGAGGGCCAGCGTATTTTACAACACGATGGGAACTTCGTATTTCCCGGTAGCCTTTGCTGCTGCTGCCGCTTCCGACCCGGCTGCAAAGCTCTATTGTCAGTTCCTTCTGAAGTTCATTCTGGATTACATGCTCCTTGAAAGGCCCATGTGGTATCCTTACTGCGGCCTAAGATAATCTGAAGGGTGTTCGCCCAGCTCACCCGGCCTTGGCCCTAGTACTACCATTTAGTCCGATGCTAATTCCTGTTGAACAGACAATGACTACAACATTGAATCCTCCGGAGCGAAAGCCACGGCCGCTGTCAACTTGATCAAGGTCATCCAGGCCGCGGGAGCAAAAATAGACGGAGTGGGCTTGCAGGGCCACTTCATCGTGGGCTCCACCCCCAGCGCATCCTCTCTCGCGAGCCAGCTCAACACCTATGTCGCCCTCGGCCTCGAGGTAGCATATACAGAGGTTGACGTTAGGTTTTCGAGCCTTCCCTCGACGGCATCGGGCCTCGCGCAGCAAGCAACTGATTATGGCTCTGTTGTAAGCGCCTGTCTTGCTGTCAGCAAGTGTGTCGGAATAACAGTTTGGGACTTCACAGACAAATACAGTTGTGAGTATTACAGGCCCTCGTTTCTTTCTATGGAATCCTGGCTATTATGTTCCAAGACTCCTCCCCCCCCTCCCCCACCAAACATCACTCTGGCCTTTGACGCAGATGTGACTAATGCACACCTTAGGGGTACCTGGCACGTTCTCGGGGCAGGGTGATGCCTGCCTGTATTGGTCCAATCTAACCACGAAGCCGGCGTACGACAATGTGCAGAAGTTGCTGGCAGCGGCCGCGGGGACACCTGTGCCAACCTCCACAGCTACCACCACAGCCTCGTCCGCCTCAGCCACGGGGACCAACGTCGCGGCACACTGGGGCCAGTGTGGTGGTCTTGGTTGGACTGGTCCCACAGTCTGCGCAGCACCGTATACTTGTACTATTTCAAACCCTTACTATTCCCAATGTTTATAGGATGTTAGGAATTAGTAATACAGGACTTAGATCGAATATTTCAGATGTTTACTGCTGTTCATGATAAAATATAGGTGTTTAAGGAAGGGAACTACTAATATTAGTTATAGAAAGAACTAGGATTAATAGGAAATATAATTTATAACACTATATATAGTTTTACTTCTATTCTATATATATTTAAGGATATATATAACGCTTTTATATAGTAGTAAGTATTTAAAACTTAGTACTTAGAAAAAATATAATATTAATAATAATAGTTATAATATAATAATAAGTTTTATATATATTATTTAAATTATTTAAAACTTTTATTATATTATAATTTATTTTATTTTTAATTATTAAATTAAAATATTTATTTATTTAATTATTTTAAAATAATTTAAATACTTTATATTTTATATTTATAAAGTTTTAATTAAATCTTTTAAATTTAAATTTAAAACTTTTAAAACTTTAAATATATTTAAAATTAAACTTATATAAATAAATTATTCTTTTAAATATAAAGTTAAAAGATCTATAATTATAATTTTATAATTAATTTTTATCTAATTATATTATATTATTATAACCTTATCTAATTTTTAATTTTATTTAAACTTCTTTTAAACTTTTAAATTTTAATATCTTTAAAGAAGTTAAAGCTTTATATTATTTAATCTTAAATTTAAAATTCTTATAAATCTTAATATAGTTTAAATTAAGTTTATAATCTTTTAGTTTTTAAAAATATATATACTATTTTAAATACTAATAACTTTTCTTTAAAATAAAGGTTTACTTTTATATAATTATAAACTTAATTATTAATAGTTATTTCTTTTTATTTATAATAAAACTATTAGAATTATAAATTTAAATACTATATATAATAATAAAGTATAGTTACCTTATTTAATTATCTTTTAATTTAATAGTATAGTAAGTTAAGTAACTACTTTTAAATAGTTTTACTTATAAAGTTATTAGATAAATATTTATTTATAAAGTAGAGCTAAAACCTTTAAGGGAATAATAGCTTTATCTTCGCCTATTTTAACTAACTTAAAAGGCCTTAGTTATATAGTAACCTTATATATATTATTTAATAGTATTAAAATTAGGTAGCCTATAGTCTATAATAGTTTTAACCTTTAATAAATTAATTTATATTAAGGTTAATAATATTAACTTAAACTAATTAAGTATAACTTAATATATTAATATAGAAAGGTATCTTTTAATAATAAATAGTATTATAAATATAATAAATTATAAAGTTATTATAAAAGTTTTATATAATAAACTTAATTAAGTTAATTTTTAAAAATATATTATATTTTATTCTTTTAAAACCTTAACCATTTACTTTTAGTTTAATAATAAAATTAAAAAATATAAATAGTTTATATAAATAAATTATATAATTATTTTATAAATCTTTTAATTTTATATTTAAAGAATAATTTATTATATAAAGTTTTTATAATAATTTTATTTTTATATTTAATATTTAAATAATAAATTTAAATAATATTTAGTTTATAAATTTATTAAATTAATATTTATATAAATAAAATTAAAACTTTAATTAAATTGAAATAATAACTTTATTTTATATATTTTAATTAATTTATTTAAATTATATAATAAATTTTAATATTTATACATAATATTTATTAATATTAAATTAACTTATAATTTATAATAATTTTAATTTTTAATAAATTAATTTATATTAAAATTAATAATATTAATTTAAATTAATTAAATATTATTTAATATATTAATATAAAAGAGTATTATTTAATAATAAATAATATTATAAATTATTATAAAATTATTATAAAAGTTTTATATAATAAAATTTATAAATATTTAATAATATTTAAATATATATAATAATTATATATTAAATAATAATTAAAATATATATAATAAATAAATAAATTATTTTAAATAAAATAATTATATAAAAATTAAAAATATTATTTATTTATTTTAATATAAAATATAATTAAATTAAATTAAATTTTAAAATTATTTATTAAATTAAATTTAATAATTTATATTAAATTAAATATATTTAAAGTTTATATTATTTTTATATATTTTATTATTATTATTTAATTTATATTATTATATTTATTAAAATTTTATTTTATAACCTTTAAAATAAAAGTACTAAATATATCTTTAAATATATATAAAATAAAAGTAAAACTATATAAGATAATCTTTTATAAAATTAACTTTTATAGGAAAATATTCTATAGGATAATTATATATAGTTTAGTGCTAAACTACTTACTTAAATAGGTATGTACTTTAAAGCTAATATCTACTCACCTAGCAATTATATTTACTTACCTAATTTTTTTTAACTATTTATTTAATATAAGAATTTATATATAAGGTCTATATAAAACTATATATTTAATTAAAATTCTTTAAAATTTTAATACTTTTAGTATAAGCCCCTTCTAATATACCTTTTAATACACCTTTTAGTATGCCTTTTAGTACGCCTTTTAAGCCTTTTAGCCTATATGTATTTAGGTATTAACTAAGTGTTTAGATACTAACTAAATGCTAGAAGGCTAGAAGTCTAGAGTATTAGAGGGTTAGAAGGGGTACTAGAAGGCTAGAAAGAATATAGTCTTTACCTTTACCTTTTTAGCTTCTAGCCTTTTAGCGTTTAGTTAGTATTTAAATACTTAGTTAATACCTAAATATATATAAATTAAATGGTAAAGGTAAAGGTAAAGGTGAAGGTAAAGGGGTACTAGAAAGTATACTAAAAGGTATACTAGAAGGGGTGCTAGAAGGGGCTTATACTAAAAGTATTAAAAATTGGAGAAGGAAATCATACTATAGGGTCTCTTAGTGCTAACTTAAAAGGTACTTATAAATATAAGGGAGTTACTTAAAAAAATTAGTATTGGGTAAGCGGTCGGCGGGAACTAGGTGAGTGGATATAATTGCTGGGTGAGTGGACGTTAGCTCTTTTGTATGTACTTTGATCTTCAAGTTTGCTAGTACGGGTGTACCCTCCGTTTTAGCAGGTGCGAGTATCCGATCTCAAAAACAAAGCAACTGTTGCGTACCTGTGCAAGCCTTATGGGGTGCCAAGAAGCACAGGTACGGTAAGTAGCTAGGCTGCCCAGGTGAGCCTCTTACTAGGGTAAATTTTGGGCAACACGTAAAGTTCCACGTTGCAATATGAGCAAGGCACATTTAGGTCGACAAAAGACATTAATAGATACTTAAGTATATATACAAAGGAAGGCCAGCAGCGCCTCGCTAAATCACATCATGTGGTATCCACACCAACATGACAACCTCATACTGCTCACACATCCATCAATGCCAAGGGGTGTATCCACTTTGATTCTACCTCTCTACTCAAGCCCTTACATAAGAGCAAAGAACAGAGGCGCAATGGCAGCCAGGACACCGAAGGAGACCTTGCCTGCACCAGAAGCCTGGACAGCGGTGACAGAGGGCTGGCTCCCGGAGGCGGAAGGAGTGGCGCCGTTCCCACCGGTCACCGCAGGGGTTGGGTTATTGCCGGCGGGCCCGGAAGGACGAGGGATGGTGCCGTTGGAGGGGCGGTTCCAGCCGCCGGAAGGCTGGGCAACGCCGGACGGCCACACGGGAGCAGTAACAGTAGACTTGACGCCGGTAGCTGTGACAAACACACCAGTTCCGGAGGGCTTGTGGCCACCGACGCCAGCTGTAGCAGTCACGGGACATACAGTGGTAGCCTCCGTCACGATGACGGTGGGCGCTGGGGTGGGGACGGTCTCGGGGATCGTCTCCGTGGAGGTGGAAGGAGTCGCGTAAGGGGTCAGGCTGACGGGGCTCTGCGGGGTGGGGACAGTGACGGGTCCGGCTGGGGTCGTAGCCACAACAGATGTGACGCTGCCAGCGCTCTCGCCAGCAGGAGACGAGGGCGACGGTCCGCCGGTGATGGCAGTAACACTGTTTCCGCCAGTCTGGGTAGCAGTGACAGGGCAGACGGTGGTGTATGAGACGACCACGGAGGTGACGATCTGCTGGGTGTAAGAGTTGGGGCAGTTGGTGACCGAGGCAGCACACGAGGTGATTGTGTAGGTGTTGGTCGACGTCACAGTGCTGGTGGTCATGCCCTGAGCCCCTGATCCGGTGAGAGAGACGGTCGTGGTGGGAGAACCGCTTCCGGCGCCCTGTCCGTTGTTTCCGGCCTGAGGAGAGCTGTTGTCAGAGCCAGACTTGGGCGAAGAACCCTCGGGAGAAGAAGCGTCGGAGCCCGATCCCGAGCCGGAACCTGAAGAGCCGGAACCAGAGCCACCGATCTGCGTGCCGTTACCAGCAGCGCCGGACTGGATCCCGTTGCCATTTCCACTGTTGGCTGATTGTCGCCAGCCCCATTGTGACTGAGAACCCTCACCGATAGTGACAGTAGAGGTTGTGGCCGTGGAAGACGCAAGGGTGATAATAACCGAGGGGGCAAGGCCAAGCTCAAGCTCGCCAACCTCAACGTCGAGCTCGACAGCAACACCGGCGGTCAGGGCAAAAACCTCGGCAGCTGAGCACTCGCTGCCGGAAGAGCCCTGACGGTATGTGGTAGTGTACTTGAAGATGTCGAGCCAGATAGCAACTTCAGCCCCCGCGCCAAGTTCAAGACCAACGATGTCGAGCTCGGAGGAGATGGCAAGGCCGGTACGCAGACGGAGGACCAGGTCGAGCTGGATGTCCTCGGAGAGGTCGATCTCAGCGCCAATGCTCAGGGGAACGGACTCGACGACGAGTCCGGTGATCTCCTGCTTGACGATCTCCTTGTTGAAGATGTTGACCTCGATGAAGGAGCCCTCGGGGAAGAATACGTTGAAGGTCGACTCAATGTCGATGGCAGCCGAGACGGAGAAGATCAGGTCCAAGGCGAAGCCGGCGTCGATGCCGATCTCAGCCAGGCCAGGGACGGCAAGCTCAAGCGAGAGGTCGGACATCAGCTCGACGGACTCGGAGACACCAGCGGTGGCGTCAAGGGCAACCTTGAGGTAGGTCTGGACGCCACCGAGGTCAACCTTGACGATAGGGTTGAGGAGGAAGTCAGCCTCGACAGCGAGGTCGATGGACCCAGCGAAGGCTCCCTCGGTCAAAGCGAGACCAAGCTGGATGGCATCGGTCTCGGCGGTCTTCTGAGCAGCAACACTGCAAGAATCCCTGTCAGTACGGCGGAACAGCGATTGATTCCAAAAAGAAAAAAGGTTATGTGCCAAGCAGTGGTGAGCAAACTTACCCAGCGTAGAGAATGGTATTCTCCCACGACCTGGAAATGTCGTAGCTACAGGAGTGAGAGGAGCTCGAGGAAGACGAGTGAGACTCGGACGAGGAAGATGTCACAGAGGACAGCAGGCCGCCCGAGGACTCCTCAGACGAAGAGGAGGAGGAGGAGGAGGACTCCGAGTGGTGAGACTCCGAGTAGGAAGTCTCCGAGGTGCTCTCGTAAGAGGACTCGCCGCCGAGTAGGGAGGTGAGCAGACCGCGGGCCTCGTTCTCGGGCGACCGAACGACGACGCTGCCGGGCCTTACCGGGTTGGCAACGGCACAACCCAGGAGCCCGAGGAGGGCCCCGTACTGAGCAAGCTGCATGGTTTTTTTTTTTTTTTTTTGTTGTTGTTTTGTGCTGTATGGGATTAAGGAACGACTGCTGCAAATATGCAGTGGATGAAGTTAGGGCAATACTGAACGAAGGAATACCACCCGAAACAAGATTCAACACAAAACAACTCAGAGCACGAAAAGAGGGACTGGCTTTGGAGGTGAGAGCCTGGAGAAGAAGGAGGGAAACATGGTGCCATTTCCGTGCGATGCACGGCAGGTATTTGAATCAAGTCGGCGGCGAGCTGTCTGTCTGGCAGCTCTCGTATGGAGAAATGACGGGTCTGGGGGGGCAGCTGCAGCGATGCTCGCGGATTCCACGATCCACCAGGCCAGGAGATCCAAATTTTGAGGAGCCCCGCCGAGGAGAGATGTCAGATGCAAAAGGGCCGTGATGGCCCTGGAGGGCGTGGATGGCTGTGCTGGCGAGCATGCATAATAGGAGGATTGGCAGCGAGGGCTGCCGATCTGTATCTCAGGGGCAGTCGAGAGGGCCCGGTGAAGGTCGTCGAGCCGCCGAGCCGCCTGTGCGGGACAAGCAGAGGCAAAGATATGCTTGTTTCCCCACAAATGGACCCTCATGCAGCCAGTCTGCCAGTCTGCCAGTGCCAGTGCCGGGTTCAAGAGGCGGGATGCAGATGCTCTAGGATGTGCACAGATGCACTGATCTGCAGGTGGTGTAGTGCCCAGGTGCAGAGAAGAGTGGGATTATGTGATGTGATGTTTCCATTCTGGGCCGTCCTTCATCTCTCTTGATCGACCAGGGAGATGGCATCGATTGATGGTAGGGGGCTCGCGACAAAAGCGGCAGTAGCTCAGGTGCCGCCCCCTTGCCGGGCCCCTGATCACCCCATCGAAGGGCAGGAGCAATCGTGCTGTCGTGTCTGTTGCCTCGAGGTAGGCCTGGTAGGGGAGCCACTGATCGACAGTTAGTCCAGGGGCCAGTGCTTGATCAGTTCGTGCATATGGGATAATAGTGGAATGCCCAGCATGCCTGGCTGGTCAATTGGTCACCGAACCTCGGGGGGCTGGATGCTGCAGCATCCGAAGGCACAAAACACAATGCGAGCATGTAGTATAGCGAGGCACTCAGGTTGTCAGGCAAGTGCATTGTACAGCTTCCCATGGACCGCAACTGCGGGCTGCACTAGTCGAAGCGTAATTGTGCGAGTTGACTAGCGCGTGCCCCTCAGATTCTTGTGGGGGTGGGCACTGCAAATACTTGATCTGCAAACATTGCGACGCTCACTAAGCTAGAGGCAAATGGATGCACCCGCACCCTCAGGTGCTCTGAGCATGGCTTGTCGTTTATTATCCCTATGACTTCAGGGCCTAGCTAGTGTTTCTAACTCCCGAGGTCGCTCCGGCTGATTAACGAGCCGAGCCACTCGCTAGGTATCTTCGATTCATCAGGATTTGAGAAGGAGAACGAACCAGGACGGAGCAGGAATATGTTTCGGAACCAGTTTGTAAAAACATCCCCTCTGCTGTGTGTTGATTGCGCGCTTGTAGATAGTTCTCTGGGAGTCCTAGGTGAAGATGGACTTGGCCATCGAGTCAGCTAAATCCACGGTGGGGGTTCCATCTGAACAATCACCAGCAATCTCAAGCCTTCATTCCCCATATCCAAATGCTCCGTCCCAATTATCGGAAAATTAGATCACACATCAACTTCTTGGCATGTGATGTTATTGTTGGTCCTCCTGTAGGCAACCGTCTCGAGCCCCTCTCACGTTACATAGGAAGTTGTTACTCCGTATCTATGCTCACCCGGGAAGCATCGACTTGTGGCGGAAAATGTTCGCAATCGTGTTTCTCTATGACTTCTAGCTTTCGGGCTACAAGCCGACGTTGTCACTGTAGATTTCCAGCAGTTCCTGAGCATAAAGGGCGTGATGGCAGCGACCAATTCGACACCGGCAACTCAAGTGCCCTGGGTGCCTCTCACGAGGACCCTTGGGGAGCTTAAACCGATGCCCTCTGCCAGCGGTCGGCATTTATGAGTAACCTTGGAAGCTAACTTTAAGTGTTTGTTTGCCCTTAGGTGTATATGGACAAGGGTTCAAAACACCGCGATTTTCCCCACGGTCACGATTGCAACATCATTGGACTCGGACTTGACCACACTTGAAGCTGGAGCTCGACTTAGAGTGGGTTTTGATGGAGACGGTTCCGGCCTCATTAGTTTCACCAAGTCTTCGACTGAGCCAAGTGTTTCTTGGTTATTCACTTGCTGCGATATTGACGCCACCAAGAACCGAGAACGCTTCCCAAGCTATCCGAAAATAGTTCCCACCTGGGTGGGAACTCAGTGGAAATTGGCACAATGCCGCTGAAGAATGCCTCTCGACCTCACCATGCGTCGCAGCAACCTTAGAAGGCCATGACCACCAAACATCCCGAGCATTACATCAAGCCAGTTACTTTTTTATCTTCCTACCTACCTGGGTAGGTAGGTAGGTAGGCAGTCCGTCTAGCTATACTGTTAACATGAACTGAGTAATATGATCCAAACCCCAAGGTCGAACTGGGGGCGACGGGCTAACATTGGACAACCGATAAGAGCTAAGAGACCTCGATGGGAGCAAACCTAGTCGACTCACCAGATGATCAAGGATGAGGGAAAGCACGGCGAGAACTCCGTTGGGCACATACCTAGGTATGTGCGGCCAGCCGAGTCGAGCTTCGAACATTGGAGCCCCAGCACCATCTACCTATGTACACAAGATGACATCAATTGATGCCTCTCATGGAAGCGGTGCTTTCTTGCTTGGACATCGAAACGTCGTTCGAACCCCAAGTCATGTGATACATCTGTGTCGAGTTTCATGTTGACCCTGTTTTATATGCGAACATTCCGCACAACAATCAGAATCTGACGATGTGAAACCATGCCACTGGAGCCTCATATTAAGCCAAGAGGAAAATGGATGCACCCACGTCCTTAAGGCGTAGGTTTGATGCTTCAGATCTTAGCTAGGGTTTCTAACTCTCATGGATCAAGATGGTGAAAGGCAATATGAATAATGGCTTGACGCCCGTATCAAGCTCAAGTGCTACTAGTAATGCATCAGTCTATTCTGAGCCATCTTGTCAACGAGTCAAAAAGAAATGCCGGTTAGTCCAATCCAATGCGCAGCAGAATCTTTAGCATTCATTTGTAATAAGCTTCGCATTTATATATACCAAACTCGCCGAGACGCCCTCGGCGTGAACACCTTCTCTTGTGTCGTCCTTGTTCCCAAATTTTGAAATCAATGAATCGCAAGTTCCCCGCCGCGCCATAGATTTAGTTCCACGCCTTGCCGCGACACCTCGCCCCTCGGACTTAGTCGCTCAAGAGAGCTTCTCTGGCTTACTCCAACATTGTCTCGCACTATCGGGGTTAAGATGCATCTTAGCGCGAGTGCATCATCAAGGCGGAGCGCATATATAAGTCGTCCATGTTTCTCCTCCATAACCCCTCTGCGTGCACGGCACTAGCAAGCAACAAATCACAATACATAGGCATCGGACCACTGTGACGGTAGCAGGCACACCAGCATCACCGAGGCAAGATGTCGTCCGACAAAAAGGTAATTCTCGTGACTGGAGGTATGGCTCGTGGTCCCTGTTAATATGTCAGTGGATGATATGACTAACACATTGATGCGTGAAGCCAATACTGGACTAGGCTACGAGGTAATTAAGGCTCTGTACGCCACAGACGTGCCCTACGAGCTGGTCATCGGGACACGCAGCGTCGCCAAAGGTGACGAGGCCATTGCAACTTTGAAGACGGAGGTGACCAGCTCCCCATCAACCCTGAGCAGGCTGCAAGTGGACCTGGCATCGGACGAGTCCCTCGAGGCTGCCGTCACGAGCCTCGCCGACAAGTACGGGCGCATTGACGCCCTCGTAAACAACGCGGGCGCCGGCTTCGACGGCCATATTCGTGACGGCAAGATGTCAATCCGCGAGGCCTTCAACGCCAGCTGGGACACCAACGTGAGCGGGACGCAAGTGCTGACCACCCTCGCCGTCCCGCTCCTTTTAAAATCCTCGGACCCGAGGTTGATGTTTGTGACATCAGGGACATCGTCCATAGCTGAGACACAGCCTGAGAACTGGGGGCCACTGGCGCACATGCTGGGCCGTATCAACGCGTCGCCGGATCAGGGGTGGCCCAAGGCGAAGGAACTCAACCCCATCACTAGCTATCGATCCACCAAGGCAGGGCTTAACATGTTAATGAGAGAGTGGGTTAGACTCCTTCGAAACGATGGAGTCAAGATCTGGGCTATCAGCCCCGGTTTCCTGGCGACGGGGCTTGGCGGCGTCGGGAAGGAGCAATTGCTCAAGATGGGGGCTTTAGAACCTCACGTTGGTGGGCAATTCGTGCGGGATGTTGTCCAGGGAAAGAGAGACCAGGACACAGGGAAAGTTATAAGGAGTAACACAATTCAGTCCTGGTAGCACGCACAACCGGAGCTCATATCATCTCGACCTCCATTGGCTAGGTAACTCCCTGGACGGAAATCGGGGGGGGGGGGGGTGGATCTCCAGCGTAGTGCTTTCACCGAAGTTCTCAGCTCAGACGGTTCTACTAGTATGAAGCAATAAACCCTCGTGTCTATTTTTGAGGAGTAATCTTGTCGGTAGCTTCCATAAGAAGATTGCATGAGCAAGCAGGGGACATGATCTCCCAACCCTCGAGGTCGCCTCCGGGTAAAGACACCTGCACGTTCGATCATCCTCCAAAACGGTTCGAGTTCATCCAGGTCAACATACCCAACATGGAAGAAAGCAGCAAAACTGTGATGATTGCAGCACCGGCCTTGTCCCCTGCCTCAGGTGGAGGATGGGGCTTCATGTAGTCGGGCTCCTCGCCCGCGTTGGGGTCGCCCACGCTCGTGCCACCGGTCGAGTTGGTCACTGGCCCACCAAGATCGTTCCTTTGGAGGTCAAATAGGAGGCTGGTCAGTGCCCCCAGCACGTTCATTTGCTCGCCGACGCCCATGTCCCCGTCAAAGTCGCCCGTCGTCCAGCGAAACCCACATGTCGCCGTCGTGACGCCGTGCCCGTTGTCTACCCCGTCCGTGCACGAGTTTATGGCGGCTGCGGTGCTGTTCCGCAACGCGTCCATGATCTGGTCGTGCACGAAGGGCGCCAGCTGCGCGGTGCTCGCCATCCACCTGTGCAGGTATCCCTTGAAGCTTCTCATATCGGTCGTACAGCTGATCCTCTCCGGGAGCTCACATGACCGCTCGATGGCCGGGCCATCCGCAAAAAAGATGTTGATAGTCTGATTGACCAGGCCTTGGACGCGGCCGCGCCAGAGATCCGAACCGTCCGTCTGGGGAAGTTGGTCAGCTACGCGCCCATCAGTTGTTTTGAGGTGCACATGTGGCACATGTGCAGTGCCCAGCTTACATGATCGTACATGAATGCCGCGCCTTGCAGCAAAACGGCAGCATTATACGAGAATTGCGCCCTATCGATATTTGTGCAGTTATATTGAACGTGTGCTCCGTCGAAGATGTTGTAGGACTCGTCCATGAATCCTACACCTTGCATCCAGTCCCACGTTTCTATCGCCCAATTTGCATATGTTTCATTGTTCGTGTATCGGGCAAGCCGTGCGCCCTGCAGGACATGGAGTCAGCCGCCAAAGAGCCAAGAAAAAAAAATATGAGAGCTGCTTCGTGCCTGCCCCACACGCCATCGCTCAGTGCATGAAGCTGTCGCGGTGCTCGATCAGGCCGAAAAAGGGGTAGGGTAAGGATGAATGATTGCGCGCAAAAGATTGCTTACGAGGTTGAAGAAGATGCCGTTCGCGATGCTGTTCTTGTAATCATAGCCACGATTGGATGGAGGAATCTGCCAGCGCAGACCACCGTTGCAGTATTCATCATGTCGGTCGGGTGCTGCCTGGGTGTTAAAGACGGCTTGGGCAAGTGCCAGCCACTGGGGCGACTCGGGCGGCGGATTTTGGAAGTTCATCTCGGCTGCGAGCATCGCACTCATCCCCCAAAACCCTTGGTCGTCGTTTCCCAGCGAGATGGACCAGTTCCTGGGCATGTAGCTGTACTCGGACTGGAAGACGAGGCCCTGCTCTACCGCATCGTTCCATTCCGTGTCGCCTGTCACGAACCAGTAGTCGATCATGGCGCCCCATAAGGCACCACCCTGCCACCAGTAGTAGTCGCCGTCTGGAGGTGGGCCCGGGAGAATGCCAGGGACCTGGCCGGGCTGGTCACCTCGGTAGTAGGACATGAGGTTGGTGGCGACTTGTTTGGCGGCGGACCTGATTGAGTCTGCAGACGACATGTCAGCACTTGAGTGACGACGGATACAGCGGCGCACATCAGTTGGCGTGGACGAACCTGTTGACGTGAGGTCGACATCGAGGGCTGCGAGGGCGAGACTGGCCGATGCCAGCATGAGAAAAATTGACATCATGGTGGGCGATGCTTCATTCTGTTGCTGTGCCCAGGGCCCACGCGAACGACTGGAATCAGGACCGAGCACTTGAGGGAGGGAGGCCACTCACTCAAGTGTCTTCCTCCAGCTGCTGTGGGTTGGACGAGGGAAGAAGACGAGCGAGTGAGACACAGGCACCGGTGAATTAATGTATCCACATTTACCGATCTTGGCCATTCTCCAAGGTTTTGCTGACTGTGTTCTTCCACTCCATGTACACAGCCATGTACACAGTAATAAAGCCACCGGATGTCGACGGCTGCTCGCAGCCTCCCGAGGTCCCCAGGGCTCAGGATGCACTGCCACTTTCTCCCACTCAGCAGGATTCGATCCAACCCAGGCTCCATTTGGCATTTTAAGGTGGGAATGACTCGGCCCAGACCGAAGGTGCTACCCCAGAAACCCATGGGATCAACCAACAAGTGGGCCGGCCGACGGGCTTTGGGATACGAGACACCTGTCGGACCACGCTCTTCTCAGCGATTCCACACCGACCGAACCGACTCTGATTCCTGTCCCCTGACAGCTCACTCAGCTCACTGCATTCTTTTCCCGCCCCGGGCTTCTGACTCCTGCAGCAGAGACTCGCAATTCTACATGCAAATGCGGTCTTGGTTGCCACCTACCTCGAAGTAGGTAACGTGCATTATTCATGCCATCCTGATTTTCTCCGCACTCTTGGCCTTGGCTCTCAGCGGGCTCTTGTCATGGGACCACCCCTCCCCACTAGTAATCATGACGGAGGTGCCAAGATGTGTCTGGGTTTAGTCCACCTTGGTACTAATGTACTAATATCAACTGCAAATGTCAAGGGAGGAAGGAGGACGAGGTTTGCTAGGGCCGCTCCTTGGGGACCTGTGTACTTAAGTTGGTATGTACTCGTGAGGTAATATAACCTTAAGAACCCTGGGAAGCCTCGGATGATTCGGAAGCTGTGTGGGCCACGGCAGCAGACAGACTGTGCCCAGACTAGGTACTTGAGTACTAAGCCACGTGCAGTGGCCTCAATATTCTATTCCAATACACGAGCTTTTGGTATGGTTTCCCAGAGACCCCGCCTCAAGTATCGAGTTCTTACAATGCGCTCTTTCACACTTCGGGCTAAACTCAGGCACCGGCCAATTACGCCGTAGGGCAAGTTTCCCTGACATCGTCTGCATCCCACCACACGGTCTGGCTCTATAAAATTACAAATTGTGCGAGGGTTCAGACCAGTTGGACAGCTTAAAAGTCACTGCTCCGAGCAAGTGCTGTGTACCCACTAAACTATTCCGGCGGGAGGGGAAGACAAGATGACAACGAAGAGTCCCTGAAACACAAGCTAATCTTTGGGTTTGACCTCAAGAAATGCCATGCAAAGCCGCGGATGCTTCCGAACCCGACTAGCCAGGGTGGCGAGAGGGGTCTCTTACTGTCAACTGGTGCCAGGCTTAGGACAAGCAGTATCGCATGTGATGATTCAAGCATTTCAGGGCTCTCTTCTATGCCAGCAGCATCGTCTGCAAATAAGGGACACGGCAACATGCTGGGTGTGATCAAGTTTGGTATCCAACCGCGACAGGGGTTGACAGGACTGAGAAGCTGTGAACCCGGAAAACTCGCCACACTGCGTCCAAGTAGAGGGCTGTGCCAGTGTTGATTTTCGGCAAGTCTTATACCTATCCAATGATTCGGAGACAAGGCTTGGGAACATGAACCGGCTCGGTCCAAGTTGGCAACAATTCGGCGACCTGCACATGTGCCATTGGGAATTGTCAGACCAGGCACATTGGTACCGTCGGCGACCGGCTCACGACCGGGCAAAAGAAAATACAATGTGCCCAAGGTGTCTTTTCCACGTGCTTTGCGGCTCGCTCGTGCACCACGGTTCGGAAATGGTCTCTGCCGGAGGCGTTTACGGCGCCTCCGTGAAGCGCTCGGCCCCTTCTGGCAATTTCGACGGCGTTCTTGGCGCACGTTTTCCAAGAGACGGCCGGTTGGAAGTTCCGAGGTGCAATTTTAGGTGTCTTCGAAGGCGATTTGTCGGACAGCGCGTCATATCATTGATTCCAACCGTCAGCCGAAGACATTCCCGAGCAGCAGCCTTACCATTTGAGGCCAAGGCTGGACTCGCGGTACGCCTAGTTCACGCACGGGCGCGGCCCAAGGTGGATGATGACCTGTGGCTCGTACAGTACCTAGGTAGCCGAAGGGGGTTGCTAGCACTTCTATGTATGTGGATTAGAAACGAAGCAACCCGTGGACCTCTAGGGACTTGTCCATGCTCGATGCTCTCCCGTGAAAATGATCGACTAGACTAAGCTCGAGGGAAATGTATGTATTAACACCCTCTGAGCATGGTTTGGTGTTTATACGCTCAAGTAACTGCCTTAGCTAGGGCTTCTAACAACTAGCCTAGTGTCAAACATCCTACTTAAGTACTTGGGACGGGCCGATGACTCTGTGGAGACCCGACCACCGCTAACAAGTTGTTATTAAACGCTCCGCAGTCCAGGGCCCAGTAGTTCGGGCCAACAGCTGTTGGCCGGTCTCTCGGATTCCCCTTCACCACTCGAGGGTATTTCTCAATCACTTGAGCAATTCGATCCCAATGCTATAGGCCCCTTGGGTCACGGTGACCGCTCTCCCAATGGACGATCGAAGTGGTGAGGTGCTGGCTACGGCCATCTTGTTCTTTATATTATGTTGGGTCACGGTTTCCCTGCGAATTTACTGTCGCTGGCGGGTGATACACTCGTTCGGTATAGATGACAAGTTTCTGCTGTTGCTTATGGTACGCGAGTCGTTCGTCCCACTCCGCTAAGATGATGGGAAAGGCTTACAATATAACAGGCCATCTTCACCGCGTATCTCGCCTCGCAAATGGTAGCTTGGAAGTATGGAACAGGTCGACACGCAGCCGAAATATCGACTGAAGGCAGAGCTACGGCGTTGAAGGTGAGTAACAAGCATCGCTTCCCTCGTATTAATATCCACGTCATCGCTGACATGGTTCGACCCAAGTACTGGTACATATGCGAGCTTCTTTATATTGTCTCGACATGTCTCCTGAAAATCAGTGTCGGCTTCCTGCTCCTCCGTATTACCATCGAGCGCATGCATGTCTATATCCTCCGAATCTTGATGCTCGGAACAGTGCTTTTCGGATCAACATACTTGTTCATGGTCATGTTCCAGTGTCGACCAATTCCAACTTTCTGGAATGACAATCCTCGTACCCCTGGGAAGTGTTGGAACAACCGCGTTGTTCTTATAATGACCTACACCGCAGCGGCAATCAACTGTCTCGCAGACTGGGCTTTCGGTTTACTCCCGATTTTTATTGTTTGGTCGCTAAATTTGCCATTCAAATCGAAAATGTTGGTGATGCTTATCCTCGGCTTTGCGGCTATTGGCAGCACGGCAACTGTCGTGCGAATCTTCTACTGTAAGTATAAGACATAAAACTGAACCTCTCTTCATGATACCCTGCTGGCAGAGTACTGGCAATCAAGTCCTGTGAGGCTTGTTCGTGGGATTTCTTCGTGCATTATCTGCTGGCTAACCTCAACGAACAAAAGTGCACCACCTCATCGACAGCGATGACTTTTTATGGTCGACGACCGATGTCGCGATTTGGAGTACCGTCGAGCCTGGTATTGGAATTGCGGCGGCTTCGATTGCAACTTTACGACCACTTTGGCAACTCATCCGCTACAAGGCCGGCCTTTCATCAGAGGCTCCGGCCAATCTCCGCTGGCGTGAGCGGAATCGCGGAAAGAGGACTTATATCCGATCGGAAGGCTCAGGGTCCAAACGCGCACCCCGCTTCCGGCCGGACATCAGCACCAGCTTAACGAATATAACAATAGCAGCAAGTGACACAGTATTCCCCAAGGACCACTTGATACCAAGACTCAGTGCCGTGTCATCACAGACGGGCATTACCAAAACAACAGATTTTGTTGCGTTTGGTACTACCCAGCCCTTGAGCCCCCTACCTGTTGATGTAAGATCGCACATCTGCCCAGGCTGATCTCTGCCTAAGTATTGCTGACATCCTGAAAGCAAGCCGCCGCTACGGAATCGCCAAGAATACCTGAACAATTGAGGGCATCATCTCGAAAAGAAGATCCAGATCTTACATCTCCGACGGTGGATTGGCAAAGTCCACGCATGTCTGCGCTGACAATGGGCTCAATGGAGCGGCCGAGAAGCTCTAGATCAAGGAATTAAGTAGTATTCCCGGACCACTTCTAGTCAGCTTTTGAGCTTGTGTTAATTTACATCCTTGGATTTTCAAATTTCTTATTCTAATACAGTATAATACATTTAAACTACATATACAGGATATAAATATTTAATATATACGATACCTCCTTCTTATATATATAGATTCTATAGTTTAAAGGGTTTTATTCTATTTAATAATATTTATTAATAAAACTATTTTAATTATAAATTATTTAAAAAGTTTTTTAAATTATAAACTTTTTATAAATAAAATTATTTTAATTTATTAAAATAATTTAAATTAATTAATTAAAAGTTATATTTAAATATATTATAATATAATAAATTATTATTATATAATATAATATTTAAAATATATTAATATTTTATTTAATATAATTTTAATTATATTATAATTTTATTTATTTATTTATTTATTATTATTTTAATTTTAAAATTAATTATTAATTATTTATATTTTTTAATTTTATTATTAAATTAAAATAAATAATAAAACTATTCAAAAATAAAATATAATATATTTTTAAATATTAATTTAATTAAATTTATTATATAAACTTTTATAATAACTTTATAATTTATTATATTTATAATATTATTTATTATTAAAATATATCTTTTATATAAATATATTAAATTATATTTATTTAAATTAATATATTAAAAATTAAAGTTATTATAACTTAATTAAAATAAATAAAAATAAAATTAATATTTTTAAAAGTTTTAATTTAAAAATATTTATTTATTAACTTTATAAATAAAATTATTTAAAAATTATTATATAATTTATTATATAATTTATTAAATTAAAAATAATTAAATAAAGTAATTTTATTTTATTATTATATATAATATTATTTTAAATTTATAATTTTAATAACTTATAAATAAAAATAATTATTAATAATTAAATCTTTAATTATATAAAATAAATTTTATTTTAAAAACT